TTATATATATATAAATATATGTACATATATATATATATATATATATATATATATATATATATATATATATATATATATATATATATATATATATATATATATATATATATATATATATATATATATATATATATATATATATATATATATATATATATATATATATATATAAACGTATTTTAAAGTTCGATATTTAATCGGATTTCTTACTGAGTTTTATAGCTCATATAGATGCCTTTTAATTGCAGGTAGTAGTGTTAGTAACCCTCCACCGGAATGGATCGAATAGCGGATCGAGGTCTTGCCCGGGATTTTGGAAGTTGTACGAGGGCCTATGAACAATGCTAAACATTTTGGTTTCTTTTGGTGATGTAATATTAAACCTACGTATTTCCTTTTTCGTATCTTTTGAACTTAAATCCGGTATGGATCGTACTTAACTTTTATTATCAAATAGTACGTTTAGTAATTTTGCTATTTTCACGTCTCAACTAGTAGATTTCGAAATACTCACCAAAATACCTTTCAAAACTCTGATTTCCTTTCGAACCAAAAAGATAAGATAGGTAGTTTCATAGTGTAGCACTCGAACAAAAATCCTCCTCTCGAAACTTGTTTTCAAACGAAACATTTAGGCCTCGTTTGCTTACATGATTGGATTAGATTGGATTGGATTAATTCCCTACTGAATAATTAATTACTTAGTCAATAATATGTTTGATTTATTAGATTACATCTTGTATTAAATTTGTTAAATTCTGGTATTGTATGTGAATTGCCCATAAAGTCTCTAACTTCACAAAATTATGTTATTATGTCAAGGATAAAATCGTATTTTTCCGTTTTAGTCACCCCTACAAAATTAATCGCAGGGGGAGAGGTGTTATTAATTAAATGAAATAGTAGCACTTAATTGCGGGCTTTCATTTTAGTAGCGGGCTAGAATAATTTGAATCTTACAAACCAAACATCTTATTAACTCCTACTATTTAGTCAATCTAACCTAATAGTAGAAAGCAAACGAGGCCTTAGTCTACTTAAACACTCCTGGGCTAGTTTTCGAAAATCACAAAAGGTTTTAATTGTTCTAAAGAAGAGATTTTGGTTGAGTGTGTAACAAATATAAAATAAATAATTAGATTTTGCAATGTAATTTCCAAAAATATTACACAACATTAATATTTCCATGTTATGTACAAGTGTGGGAAGCTAAATTCGCATAAAAACAGGAAAAGAAACCCAAAGATAAATAAAAAAAAAATTATATACAGTAAAATATAAAAATATTTATTTCATAGCCAAAAGCATAATATATTGACCCCAATGAATATATTTATTTATTATTTGTATTTTCGTAAACTCTAAATTAAATTAAGAAAAAAGTTTCAGAAATTAAAATAAAAAACAATAAACAACAACTATTAAAATAAAAGTAAGACAGGAGTTTCAAATTAAAATAAGAGTCTACAAATAACTAAAATAACAATAAACTACAGCTAATAAACTAATTAACGCAATAGTTTCAAAAATTAAAATAAAAGTCTACATCTTGATCACCTTCTTCTTCTTCTTCTTCTTCTCCTTCTCCTCCTCCTCCTCCTTCTTCTTCTTCTCCTCCTCCTCCTTCTTCTTCTTCTCATACTCATCATCATCCTCATACTCAGACTCATCATCATCCTCATACTCAGACTCATCATCATCCTCATACTCCTCCTCCTCCTCTGTCATCTGCTCCTCCTCCTCCTGTGTCGTCTCCTCATCCGCCGGCTTTGGGTCGGACCCTGTCGGAATCGGAGCCGAGGAAGCCGAAAGGGTGCGGCTCCTAGAAAGGCTCCCGCTGCTGCTACCTATAAAGCAAATAAAAATAAAGAATTTATATATATAATATTGTTTTTACTTTTTTTTTGGAAAAGCATTAATACCAGAAATGACGTTTTGGGCAAAGCTCGTAACCCAAAAAAGAATTAAATGAAATAAAAATAAATAACTTATTTATATTTATTTTTTACTTTTTCTTTTTTGGAAAATTAATTAATACCAAAAAGGGGTTTTTGGCAAAACTCGAAATCTGAAAAAGTTGTAAAATAAAATAAAAATAAAGAACTTATTTATATCAATTTCTTTTACTTTTTTTTGAAAATAATTAATACAAAAAAAAGAGGATATTTGGCAAAGCTCGAAACCCGAAAAAAATAAAACTAAAAATAAAGATATCATTAATTAATTAATTCATTAGCTTTTAACTTTTTTTTTTTGGAAAAAAATAATACCAAAAAGAGGTCATTATATTATAAAATAATTTACCAACTGATCTAAAGGCTTTTGTCAAAGATCGAATTCCTAAATGCTTCGACATAGTGAAAAGAGAGAGAGAGAGAATAGTAAATAGTAAAAATGCAGTTTAATAAAATTGAAAATTCACACAAGTATGGAGTTTCACTTGTCATGCATAAATAGAAGTTTAAGTGTGGAACCCGCAAAAATAATATTGTTCTCAAATTTTATTAGAAAGAGAGAATCGGAGCGTTAAATTTATGTTATTAAAAATGATAACAATAATGTTATAATATATTCTAAAGTCTTATCAAATATTCAATAAACTATACATTTGTTAACCCAATTTTGAAATAGTGGAATAGTTGAGGTTATTTAGATGTCTTCTAATAATATAATACTTTAAATTGAAAATATATAGATTAATTTTGGTTGAGTGTAACAAATATAAAATAAATAACTAGATTTTGCAATGTAATTTCCAAAAATATTCTACAACATTAATAAAAAAAACTCTAATAAACATATTCTACTATGTGTTTAGAAGGCTACAATTAATATTTTCATGTTATGTACAAGTGTGGGCTTATGATAAAATGTATTAGATATATCAGTAAATACTCAATTAAAAAATAAGGATTATGATAAAATGTTATGTAGGTGTTTGATGCTTTTTCTTTTTCTTTTTTTTTTTCGTTTTATTATTTATTCAATTATAAAATAAGAATTATTTTTTTTGAATAGTTTTAAATATTTGTCTTAAATGTATTTTTTTTTCAATTTGTTTCCGCCTTTCTCTTTCAAAATCAACTACAAAATTTCTGAAATCAACAAAAAAAAAATTTCCAATTTTTTATTCCATTTTTATTTTCCATAATCAACTATAAAGTTATCGTAAACAACTACAAAATTGAGGAAATAAGATTCATCAAATCAACTACAAATTATCTAAATCAATTATAAAATTGAGAAAATTACACAAAAAGAAAAAAAAATTGCGAATAAACATGGTAGAAGACGAACAAGCGATTAAAAATTAAAATTGAAGATAAACCAAATGGCGTGAAATTGAATCGTTGATTATTCAATTTCTGCGAAGACCCGCCACCGGTCGTAGAAGCATGGCGGCACCGCTCTACGATTTATTGGTCAAAATTGATTAAATTGGGGTTACAATTAAGAATTGAGTGTAAAAGATTGGAGGTAACTTTTTGTTATATACATTACGTTTTCATTTACACATAAATTAATTTATTTGTATAAATATAGATGTCGTGAATTATGACTGTGTTACCCTAGCGTTTCTTTCTTTTATATATAAAATATTAAAAGGGATGGGTTTGTTGGCGAAAAAGGTATAACCCCTAAACCTAGAATAATAAAATGGTTGGTCATGGATGATATGCATAATCGGACCGATCCAATGGGCCCACGATTTATTTATCCACTGGGTCACGAGCCCAATTTAAAAGACCACTACAATGAAAGTCCCAAACATCTTCAAAGGGGCTTGGGACCAACAAAGTAAATACAACTCAATCAAAGACATATAAATAAATGTTTTTACTAATTTGTTAAGGTACGTTCCAATTTACACAACATTCTAGTGCTTATATTCTCTCTACGATGTAACACCCCACCTTTCCAAAACCAGAACCCGAAATCAATCTTCTTAACTCGAGAATCCCTAGGTGATATTATTACGTGAAATTAATTATGTGAATTACGTGAGCAGATATACATGTGCTTTTATCTGACTATGTGAATTAATTTACGTAAATTTGTATTTTAGGATCATTTCTATTTCCGTAAGTTGAATTACTAATTAATAATAATATACATACATACATGTATAAATATACTGCATGCATACATAATTACGTGCATGCACATACATAATCATTCTATACGTGTGTGTATATATATATATATATATGTGTGTGTGTGTGTGTGTGACCGTATGTATATGTGTGTGGTGTATGCATGTTGTCTTTTTTTTTCTTAAAGAAATTAGTGTTAATTTGCATGCCTTTCCACTTGACAAATGCTAATCATTTTCACTCATCCCATACTCAAGAGATCCCAAAAAACACTCTTCTTTCTCATTCTTCTTCCACATAATCCTCTTACATGTCTTCATCTCCCATTTCCACCCACACCACCACCTCCATCTCCACCATCGGCTTTCTTCTTCTTCCACCTCAACTCCATTTTACAAAGAAATCCAAAAAAAAAAAATGAAAGTTCCTAGCCCTACAGTGTTGGAACCACGACTGCGGTTTGACGATTGTTCATAAAACTTCTGGATTGAGGCTTGTACTCCATTTGCTTCATCTTTACATAGTTGACGATTAGCTGGAAAAAAAATTATAATAATATGAAGATAGGCAAGGTGAGGCGGGGACTACGTCGTTCTCTTAAGACGAATTTCACGATCCCATCTCTAATGAGATGCAAAAACGTTCCGATCGTATCGCCTATGGGATACAACAACCCAGCCTATCTCTTTGCTGTAACTTCACCAAAATTGCACGTTCAAGTGAAGTAGAAACTTACACCCGACACACAACAAGTGCTCAACATATAATATATATAGGATCTTTAGAAATTTAGTTTTTGTTCTCTTCTCCCATCTACTTGCAAACCACAGTATCCCCTTAATATAATGTATAATAGGTTTATACTATGCTACACCGGGTGAAATACATTGGGTAAATCTTTACTATTCATAAACACACAAACACACACACACACCCACATTGGTGTGTGTAGATCAACGGTAAAAAATCACTCGGTGTAACCTTCACCGGGTGTAGCTTAGAAATAATCTGTATAATATGACCCCCATAAAACCTCAATTTAATATAGAATTTATGGTGTTTTATGTAGGAGAATAATGGATTTGAATGTTTCAAAATAGTGGTTTAATGACCATCATAAAAGTGGTCAAAGTCATTATTATATTTTATAATAAAATATATTATTTTATTAAAATAACCCAACATAGAGTACACCAAAAACACCATCAAAACATCTTATCTTCTCACGAGAGAAAACAACACATCTCTCTTAGAAGCTCACACCCTCTCTTTCACCATCAAGGTTGCTTGGCTAGACTTTGGTATTTGAAGCACTCTTCCTCCGGTTGTTTTCTTTTCTTCGGTTAATAAGTAAGAAATCTTGATTTCTTGCTCCAATAAAAGGGTGTCAATAGTATCAAAAGGGTTTTCAAAGTTTCTTAAAAGACTTGGAAATTTTTTCAGAAAAGTTGTGTTGATTGTTAATTTTTTTTTCTTGCATGCATTATTTATGTTGGTAGTGGATAGATACAAGTTTATTGGCCAAAAGCAAAAATAATTTCGGATTTCCAAAGGGTATTGCAAGAAAAATGAATTTTTGAACTTTTATGGGGTTGCATGTGTAGATCTAAAGATTTTTGGGCTAAATCTGTAATTTTCAAGAAGCCTGTCCTAAATATGTTTTCAAATCTGTTTTTCTGCATTTGTTGAGTAAAAATTTCGGATTTAAAAAGGTTGTGCAAGAAATTTTGATTTTTGAACTTCTAGTGGTCTTGCATGTATAGATGTAGAAATTTTGGGGTAAAATATGTAGTTATTAAAATTTCTGCCTCAAGTAAGTTTTTAACTTTGCTTTCTGCCTATATTAAAATAAAATTTCAGATTGTAGAAGTTTTTCATGAAAAATCGGAGTTTTAACTTTTAGTGTGGTTGCATGTGTAAATCTTGAAACTTTTGGGTCAAAATTATAATTTCCGAAAAATCAGTCACTTCTAAATTTGGGAATCTGTTTTCCATCAAGTATTAAATGA